CGAGGCCGGTCCTCCCCCCCCCGGCTGGCTCCGAGGAGGCGGCGGCGAGGCCAGCTACAGAGCGTTCCCTGCGCATGCGCAGGGGACGCTCTGTCACTTTCGGGGGGATTTAAACATCCCCCCGAAAATTTTTTCAACTTTTTGGATTTTTGTGCACACGTGGGGACAGCCCCACGTGTGCACAAACCTCCCCCTCCCCCCAAGTGCCCCCGGAGCGCGGATTTAGCGATCCGCACTCACGGGGGCAACTTGGCTATTAGTATAAGGATTCATCCGTTTAATCCTCTACCCCAGTAGTCCTCATCCCCTAAGGGCTCCTGTAGCAACTTATGATTATTTAACACTGCAAAGTGATGTAAAACAATAGTGAAAAGAAAGCCACCCAAAATAATCGGAAAGATCTGGTTAGGTTCCCGAAATGTTGCAAGGGAGAAAGCCGTGCTCTGGAGCAGTCTCGGCCAGTCACTTTGGATGAACGTCCCTGCCGCTCTTCTCAGCCATTACTGACTGTACGAAGGCAGGGAGATCCGGGAAGGGTTGTCGCTCAAAGCTTGCCCAGGGAATTTGCTCCACTCTTCAGTTCTCTTTGCTCCCCGCTTTTCCTTCAGTCTGATGTTCTGGACCAACTGGAACGAGCAGCACCCCAGCATCATGCGAGCCTCCCTGTCCGGCGCCAATATGATCACCATCATCGATAAAGACATCCGTACGCCCAACGGCCTGGCCATTGACCACAAGGCCGAGAAGATCTATTTCTCCGATGCCACGCTGGACAAGATCGAGCGCTGTGAATATGATGGCTCCCAACGACAAGTAAGTCCTAGTGTCAGAAGGGTGTTCTCCCAGGAAAGCCTGGGAGCGGGAAGGACGAAAGTGATTATTGACATGTCAATTAGGTCACGCCACGGCGTAGAACAGGGCATTGATTGCTGTGTGTTCATCTACGCCCTGCTTCTCTCCCGAATGTGGAGGAGCTTACAATGTGGTTCTCCCCTCCTTCGTTCTATCCCCACAATAACCCTCTGAGGAAGGTTAAGCCGAGAGAGAGAGGTCTCCAAGGTCACCCAGCAAGCTTTCGTAGCAGAGTGGCAATTCTAGAGAGCCAGTTTGGTGTAGTGGTTAGGACTCTAATCTGGGAGAACCAGGTTTGATTCCCCACTGCTCCACATGCAGCTGCTGGTATGACCTTGGGTCAGTCACAAGTTCTCTCAGAGCTGTTCTCCCCAGAGCAGTCCTCGAGAGAGCTCTCTCAGCCCCACCTACCTCACAGGGTGTCTGTTGTGGGGAGGGGGAGGGAAAGGAGATTGTAAACCGCTGTGAGACTCCTTTGGGTAGTGAAGGGCGGGGTATAAATCTAATCTCCTCTTCTTCTTCTAACCAGGGTGTCCCAGATTCTAGTCCACACAATAACTACCACACCGTGCTGAGAAGTGACAATGAGTATAAAGAATTTGCTGATAACTGGAGACTTACATAGAGCGGGTTTTTATTCCTCTTTCTCGATGTACTTTAGCTGGAGATGCTAAGTAGTTTTCCAGAAAGCTGAAGGTTGTTTGAAAGAGTTTGCTGTGCATACTTTCTTGCCTTTGGAAAACAGTCCATAAAAGTTTAGTGGTTTTTTTTTTTTTTTAAAGCTTTGTTTTATCAGAGACGATTGAAGGACAAAAGAATTCTGTGCGTGAAAAGGAACGCCTCTGTCCTAAACCTCTTGCTGCTGTCTTTTGAAAAATAGAGATCCTCTGTCTCCAGCCTTTCTAACAGAATTTTCAGTGACTTTATCAAACAGCATAAGCAGGCATTTTTGTGTGTCTTCTGCGATGACAATGGAGCGTCTTTGTTTGGTGAGACGTGCATATCATGAATAAAGGAAGGACCTCTAAGGAGCTGACACATTAAAAACTAGAGGCTGGGAATCTGGCCATCTCCCCCTTTCTCTGCACAAAGCTGGAAGTGTATTAAAAACTATCGTCACTGTCCAGCCTTTGTTCACCCATCGCTGTTTTAATGTCCAGGAATCAACTTCTTGCCAGAATGAACTAGCCGTGTGTCTTAGAACAAATACCAGCTCTTTACCAAGATGTAATTTACTCCAGTAACATCTGGCGCACTGCCTATCTGAGAGCCAGTGCAGGGCAGTGGTTAGACTGTCAGACTGGGATCTGGGAGGCTCCAGGTTCAAATCCCCACTCTGCCATAGAAGCTTGCTGGGTGGCCTTAGGTCAGTCACACACACTGTCAGCCTAGCCTACCACACAGGGTTGTGGTGAGGATGAAATGGAGGAGAGGAGAGAGTTGTAAGCCACTTTAGGTCCCTGTCATCAGGGAGAAAGGCGGTATATAAATGATATTCCCCACAAGCAGCTGTGCCGCCCTTGTTTCTTGAGATTGAGGAGACGCAGGGAAAATCGGGGAGGGGGGGAGATGTGGGTCAAGATGCAGCCGCACAGCAAATAGTGTGAAATTGACCAATGCAGCTGGGGCAAACGGAAGAGTGAGGGCGGCACAGCTGCTCGTGGGGAATCGGTTTCAGTAAATAAAAATAGTCATCAACCTGCTGGATGGTGTGGAGCATTTTGCCACACGTGATCGTAAATCTCCTCCTCTGGGCAATAGAGGAAGCCACTTTAACAAGGAGTTACATGACCACCATGGGAAGTTACCACTTAGTATAAGGATATCTGTTCTTTCCTCAGTGGTCCAGTTCACTCTGATTGCACCTTAAAAATTGATATTCTCCTTGTCTGCACAGTAAGGAGATCTCCAGCCTTCTGATCTGCTCCCGAGGCTTGATGTTCTCAGTCTGAACATCTTTTACCTTGGAAATCCCATGGGGTCGCCATACGTCAGCTGCAACTTGATGGCAAAAGAAAGAGAGAGAGAGAGATGCACACACAGAGGAACCCCAGCTGTAGGGGAGAAGAAAGATAATTTTAAAAATACACTGGGAAAGGGGAGTAAAAGAGAATAAAACTGGCACTGTGGTGGTGGCTGCCGCTGAAACAACGTTCCTTTAATCTGCACAGCCAGCTTGGTCCCTAGTAGCCGATAAGAAGTCCTGACGGGTAAGCGCCCCATGTGGCCTCCGTGGTGGGCTCCAGGAAAGGACACCACGTTGGAGACCCCAGACTACAACATGCAAAGTATAGCAAGATCAGATTGGAATCACAGAATCATAGAGTTGAAAGGGACCTCCAGGGTCATATAGTCCAACCCCCTCTCCAAAAAACCCCCCTTCCCCCCCCCCCCCCTGTTATATGCCCAGAAGATGGCCAAAAAAAACCCCAACCTTTCCAGGATCTCTGGCCAAACTGGCTTGGAGAAAATTCGCTTCCTGTCCCCAAAGTGGCGATCAGTATTTCCTTGGGCGTGTAAAAAAAAAAAGGCCACAAGAACTAAGCACTGATGCAACCCTTCCTGCTCTCCCTCTCATGACCTGCCTAAGTTCACAGAATCAGCATTGCTGTCAGATGGCCATCTAGCCTCTGTTTGAAAACCTCCAAAGGAGAACTTACCACCTCCTGAAGAAACCTCCTGCTATGGTCAGGCCTCACCTGGAGTACTGTGTCCAGTTTTGGGCACCACATTTTAGGAAGGATGTTGACAAGATCAAGTGTGTCCAGAAGAGGGCAACCAGGATGGTGGGAGGGTTTGAATCCAAGTCTTATGAGCAAAGGCTGAAAGAGTTGGGTATGTTTAGCCTGGGAAAGAGAAGGCTTAGAGGGGACATGATTGCAGTGTTTGAAGGGCTGTCATGTAGAAGATGGAGCAGATCTATTCTCTCTTGCTCCGGATTGCAAGACTAGATCTAATGGATGGAAATTACAAGGGAGTCATTACCGGCTAAATATCAGGAAAAACTTCCTGTGTTTGAGCAGTGGCACAGTCTGCCTCAGGAGGTGGTGGATGCTCCGCTGGACGTTTTCAAGCGGAGGTTGGACGACCATCTTTCAGGTATGTTGTAGGGCTATCTTTTGGCTATGCTCCTGCAGAGTGCAGGGGATTGGACTAGATGACCTGCAAGGTCCCTTCCAACTCTAACATTCTATGATTCTATGAAACCTGTTCCACTAAGGAACCTCTCTGTTAGCAAGTTCTTCCTAATGCGTAGCCAAAAACTCTTTTGATTTTATTTCAATCCGTTGGTTCCGGTCCGACCTTTTGGGGCAACAGGAAACAATTCCGCACCATCCTCTATAGGACAGCCCTTCAAGTACTTGAAGATGGTTATCGTATCACCTCTCAGTCGTCTCCTCTCCAGGCTAACCTTAGTATAAGATTAGTGTCAAGACTGATCATACGCATCATACGGATTCCCGTGAT